ATTTTGGAGGCCTCTTGGGCGATCTCGGGGCGATCTTGGGGTGCTCTTGGGCCGTCTCGGGCCATCGGAAGGCCGAAAAGAAGCCAATGCCCAAATCCCTCAAAACCAATGTAAAATCAATGGTGTTGGCCTCTTCGGGCCTTCCTGGAGGCCCTTTTGGGGGCCCCTTGGGCCGTCTTGGAGACTTCTTGGGGGCCTCTTGCGCCGTCTCGGGTCATCTTAGAGCCATCTTGGGCCGTCTTGGTGGGCTCCGGGCCCGTCTGACGCCGTCGGAAGCCCTCTTGGGGGCCTCTCTAGGCCGACTTGCTTGGGCCGGATTGGGCCTTCGGAAGGCCGAAATGAAGCAAATCCCCAAATCCTTCAAAAACTCACGGAAAATCAATAATTTTGGCCTCTTCAGGTCTTCCTAGGGGACCTCTTGGAGGCCTCTTGGGCCATCTTGGAGACCTCTTGGGGGCCTCTTGGGCCGCCTTCGGTCATCTTGTGGCCGTCCTGGGCCCTCTTGGAGAGGCTTCCTGGGTGGACTCGGAGGCATCTTGGACCCTCTTGGACCGTCCTGGACGCCACCTTGGACGATCTTGGGCAAACTTGGACGCCATCTTGGCCGTCTTGGAGGCCATCGAGGCCGCCTTGGAGACGCAGGTGGCGCAGCGGGCGGGCCATTCCGCCGGGTGGCCGGCGCGCGGGGCGGGAGCACCCAGGGGGAGTTTTGTTGTGTTGTTTTGTTGTTGTGCTACATATATATATATATATATATATATATATATATATATATATATACATACATACATACATACATACATACATACATACATATACATATACATATATACATACATACATATAGATATAGATATAGATATAGATGTATATATATATATATATATGCATAGATATATATATATATATATATCAACAAAAATCAGCACGCCAGGCACCCATGTGGCAAGACCACAGGGGGCGGCGGATCTAGAGGCCTTCGAACCATCCCGCCACCGTGTTTGGGTTGTGGGTCAGAGTTCTCAGGGATGCCTCTTCGGAGCGCTCTCCCGGGGCCTCTTGGGAGCAGTTTGGGGGCCCTTTGGGGGCCTCTTGGGAACCTCTTGGGGCCTCTTGGGAGCATCTTGGGGCCTCTTGGGGGCCTCTTGGGGTCCCATTGGGGCCTCCTGGAAGGCCCTCGGGGCCGAGGGCTCGAAATGTCCGTTCGGGCCCCATCTGAGCCTCCTCTTGGGGCCTTCTTCGGGTCCCCTGGGGCCGTCCGTGGGGCCGTCTCGGGGCCCTCTTGGGCCGTCTTGGGGCTCTCTTGGAGGCCTCTGGGGCCGTCTCGGGGCGATCTTGGAGGCCTCGTGGGCCGTTTTGGAGCGTCGGAAAGCCGAAAAGGCGAGAAGTCCAGGAACCCTTCCAAAACCTTGAAAAATCAATGATTTGTACCTCTTCGGGCCCTCTTGGGACGCCTCTTGGAACATTCTCGGGACGTCTTCGGGGCCTCGTGGGCAGTGTTCAGGACATTTTGGATGTATTGGGGCACTCTTGGGCCTTCTCGGAGGCATCTTAGGCTCTCTTGAGGCTTTTGGGGCCCATGTTTGGCCGGCTGCGCTACTGGAGGACGCGCGCGCCACGCCCGGAAAATCCCAGGGAATCCCCGGAAAACCCGGGGAATCCGGGAGAATCCCCGGAAATCCTTCTGAAATTGGTGGCCCGGGCCTTGAAAACGCTTTTAGGTTCTACAATTCTGACTTTCTCAGGGCTGCATGAGCTTTGGGGCACTCCACTACGTGCTGCAAGCACGGTGACGGATTGTGTCAGAAATCCAAGTCTAGCTTGACGCAGGACCCAACCATTTACAGTTGTGAGTACCGCAGTTGCGGGTGTCGTGTTCAGTGGAGCTCCTTATAAGGCCACGAATCGCTGTATTGGGTGGGGGAGACGCATCCGAACTTTGCCACTAGGGCCTTCGGTGAAGCCCCCGATGGGCCCCGAAACGCTGTGCTGGGTGGGGGAGACGCATGCGAACTTTGCCACTGGGACATTCGGTGGAGCCCCCTAACGGGCCGCGAAACGTTGTGCTGGGTGGAGTAGACGCATGTGAACTTTTTGCCACTGGGGGCCGTCGGTGGAGCTCCCTGTGGGCCGCGAAACGTTGTTCTGGGCGGGGGAGGCCTTCGGTGGAGCCACGAAACGTTGTGCTGGGTGGGGGAGACGCATGTGGACTTTGCCACTGGGGCCTTCGGTGGAGCTCCCGATGGGCCACGAATCGTTGTACTGGGCGGGGGAGATGCATCCGAACTTTGCCACTGGGACCTGCGGTGAAGCTCCCGATGGGCCACGAAACGTTGTACTGTGTGGTGGAGACGCATGCGAACTTTGCCACTGGGACCTTCGGTGGGAGGGGCACGCAACCTGATAAATCACTTGGTATCCGAATACTGTCCTCGCTCAGGCGGGCCTTCCCTGGACGGGTGGGAGGGGCACGTAGCCAGATAAATCATATGGTATCCGAACATTGTCCTCGCTCAGGCGGGGCCTCCCTGGACGGGTGGGAGGGGCACTTAATTTGATAAATCACATGGTATCCGAACATTGTCCTCGCTCAGGCGGGGCCTCCTTGGACGGGTGGGAAGGGCACGTGACCTGATAAATCACATGGTATCCGAATACTGCCCTCGCTCAGGCGGGGCCTCCCTGGACGGGTGGGAGGGGCACGTAATTTGATAAATCACATGGTATCCGAACATTGTCCTCGCTCAGGCGGGGCCTCCTTGGACTGGTGGGAGGGGCACGTAACTTGATAAATCACGTGGTATCCGAATACTGTCCTCGCTCAGGCGGGGCCTCCCTGGACGGGTGGGAGGGGCACGTAACCTGATAAATCACATGGTATCCGAATATTGTCCTCGCTCAGACGGGGCCTCCCTGGACGGGTGGGAGGGGCACGTAACCTGATAAATCTCACGGTATCCGAATATTGTCCTGGCTCAGGCGAGGCCTCCTTGGACTGGTGGGAGGGGCACGTAATCTGATAAATCACATGGTATCATACGAAATCATATGATATGGGTCTTGCATGATATGTTATGGTATTGTATGGTATGATATGGTATGGTATGTATGGTTTTGCGATGGCATGTGGAGCAGGAAGCGGGAGAAGGGGAAGAAGAAGGAGAAGGAGAGGGTGTTCTTGGAAAACAAGAACCTCACTCAGGATGTGAGGAAGCAAATATGTATTTAACACAAAAAACTGTCCTCCCTTCCTCCCCCCCGTCGGCGCCGCCATAGCGTCGACGGCCGGCAAGCGCAGCCTTCGTGCTGCCCGCGCTGCGCGGCTCAGCCGCGCGCTGGGCTCAAGGTGGTGCTCCTCGGCAAGGTCGTCGACCACCTCCGACATTCGACATTTTGTCTCCTCAGGAGGGGAAAAAGCACACGGACACAATGAATCGTCGATTCCCCAGAAGATATGGGAAAATATGGGAAGCGGGGGGGGAGACAGAAACCCAGAAAACATGGGAAAATATGGGGAATTTGGTTAGGTGTGCCTATTTATTTGTGTGTCCCAGTTCCCCTTCATCTTCGTCCCCTGGCAACGCCCCTCGACCTAGACGCTGCCCCCGCGGACCGCTTCCACCTCGCCGCCAGTGCCTGAGACCCGCGCGGCGTTCGCGATTTTCTGCCGATTCCACGTCGACCTAGCCCTGAGGTTTTCTGATCGGGCTTCCAAGGTGGCTGCCCTGTCCGGATCGGTTCTGTCTTGACATCCGCCAACCGCCTTTCCCAGTTATACGCCCGTGCTTGGCTGCCTCGCGTCTCGTGGGGCTTCGGCACCTCCTGCGCCACGCGCTGCACGGATTTGCGATTCGGCACGCACGCGCCGGCTCACATGGTCTTCGCGTGCCTCCTTCTTGCCTCCCCATCCAGCCCATCCCCCCGCGCCCTTGCGTGCTTTGTTGCGCTCCAGCGCGTCCCGCCGCTGCTTGACCGACGCCTGGATTCTCACGTCCGCCGATTGTAAGAAAGTGTCCAGTGGCGAGAGTTGTCCCAGCCAGGCAGACGCTCAAAGCGCGAGGATCATCTGAGACGGCCTTGGGCTGCCAGCTCTGCATTTGGGCACTCTTGCACGCAGTGTCGGCACGCGCAACAAAATGCTCGACTCGACGCTGCAGGCGGAGGAGAAGAGGAGGACGCAATGGTCTGGTATGCTGGATCCTCCAGGACCCAGCTTTACACTGTGCTGAATGTCCCCAGTGTTCGGGCGCCACGGCGTCACGGACCAGGGCTTCGCGGCGTCTCGAACAGATACTGCGGGAGCACCTTGCGCGCACATTGTTGTTATCACGAGGAGGAGGAGGAGGAGGAGGAGGAGGAGGAGGAGGAGGAGCAGCAGCAGCAGCAGCAGCAGCAGCAGCAGCAGCAGGAGCAGGAGCAGGAGCAGGAGCAGGAGGAGGAGGAGGAGCAGGAGGAGGAAGAGGAGGGAGGAGTAGGAGGAGGGGGGGAGAAGAAAATGGGAGTTATGAGGAATAGGAGGAGATGAGGAGTATGGGGAGGAGGGGGAGAAGGGATGAGGCGGGGACTCTTCACACTCGGTTTGCCGATCCACGCTTTTCGACGTTATGTGAACTTGTGGGCATGGACTGGCTTCCGCGCAGAGGATACGAGTGCCGCGCAGCCTCCGCCGAGGTATGTCAGCGTAGATATGCTAGCCCAGTCGGGCTTTAATTTGTGCAGACCGGGAGAAAGAAAGTGGAGGACGAGCATGAGAAGGGAAGAGCAGAGGAGGAGGAGGAGCAGGAGGAGGAGGAGGAGCAGGAGGAGGAGGAGCAGGAGGAGGAGGAGGCGGAGGCGGAGGCGAAGGAGGCGAAGCAGGCGAAGCAGGCAGAGGCGGAGGAGGCGGAGGAGGAGGAAGGCCCACGCACGCACACACACACACAAACACAAACACACCCACACACACACACACACACACACACACACACACACACACACGCACACACACACGGAAGCCGCAGGCGCTGGGCCGGGGCGCCCCGCGGCAAAGGCGGCGGCGTTGGAGGCCCTCCGGTCCGAGAGCCTTCGTTGGGGCAAGCGGCGCCTCGCGGAGCCGCTGCTCTGCAGGAGGGCCGCCCTTCCCAGACGTTTTTTCGGTCGCGGCGCCAGCCAGAGCACAGCGCGGTCGGAGCCGGAGCGGGGCGCGGAGTGGGGAATTGGCACGCTACGGTGGGGGCGTTTGTTAAGGAGTGTGCCCAGGAGTCTTCAGACCCTCGAAGATGTCTTATCTGATGAGGGCTGCGATAATAGCCGTGGCCAGGCCTCAGTTGGAGTTCCAGCGGCTTCCAGAGCTTGGGTTCCTTATCTAAGGGTTGCTTACCCAATGCCCTCACAGTAAGATTGGTTTGTTGTCGGCAGCGCTGGCGGTCGCAAGCGCGTCTGAGAGCCGAAAGCACACTGAGAGCGGGAGAGGAGGAAAGGGAGCGGCCGCGGGGCGGGAATGACGCCGTCGTCGTCGCCGCCGTCGTCCTTTTCACCTGAGGCTCTTCGCCGTTGTTCGGCCTCTTCAGGGCCCGTCCCCTGCCTCGAGGACGATGGTCGGAGGGAGAAGTTGAGGAGAGGGAGGAGGAGGAGGAGCAGGAGGAGGAGGAGGCGAAGAAGAAGGAGGAGGAGGAGGAGGAAGAGGAGAAAGAGGACAAAGAGGAGAAAAAAGAGGAGGAGGCGAAGGAGGAGGGGGAGGAGGAGGAGAACGAGAGGAGGAGATGAAAGGGGAGGAGGATGTCCAGGGGAGGGGAGACAGGGGTAAGGAGGAAAGACAGGAGAGCGAGGAGGGAGAGACGCATGGGGAGGAGGAGTAGGAGGAAGTGGGTGGAGACAGAGTGCATCATTGGCCGAACGCAGCAGTCTCACTAGGACGCGTGTCTGTGAAAGTTGAAGAGAACCAGAAGCTCCAAGAACTTCAAAAACAGCTGTTGCGTTATCCGCCGAGAAGTAGGCGAATCGAACCGATCGGCTGACATGCCCGTGTGGCAGCCTAGAAGGAGAGAGAGAGAGAGAGGAAAAAAAAATAGAGAAAGAGAGAGAGAGAGAGAGAGAACAAAAAAAAAAAAAAAAAAAAAAAAAAAGGAGAGAGAGAGAGAGACGTTTTTGGCGTTTCAGGACGAGCTCCGCCTTCGTCGCAGACTCGGCTGTGGTGGAAGCCAGCGGAAGCAAAACGGCGGCGAGTCCGCCGGCGGAAGGCAGCGGAAGTCGAAGCGAGGCGTCACCATCCGGCTTCGCCTGCCCCCGAAGAGTAGGCGAATCGGAGCTATCGGCTGGCATGCCCATTGGAAGCCGGGAAGGAGAGAGGCGGGCGTTCCAGGAAGGGCCTCGCCTTTGGCGCCCCCTGCCCTCGGCGGAAGCTCGCGGGAGGCCGGCGGACATGGAACGGGGAGAGACTTGGTTGCGGAAGGTGGCGGAAGTAAAAATGGATGATGATGATGATGATGATGGGTCAATGTTTCACCACCACTACCACGAGTAGGACGGGAAAGAAGGGGGAATGGGGAGGTCGTCCTCGTCCTCCTCCTCCTCCTCCTCCTCCTCCTCCTCCTCCTCCTCCTCCTCCTCCTCCTCCTCCTCCTCCTCCTCCTCCTCTTCCTTCTCCTCCTCCTCCTCCTCCTCCTCCTCCTCCTCCTCCTCCTCCTCCTCCTCCTCCTACTCCTTCCTCTCCTACCCATGGTAGTTATACTTGTAGTGGAAAGCGTCAACATGTTTGGGTTCAGGGTTTCCAGGGTCGGCCCTGTGTTTTGCCAGAGGGAGTGTCCAGGCAGCCGCGCGTCAGAGAGGCCGGGGGATTGGCAGGGCCTGGGCACGAGCATTGTTTGGAAAAGCCCACCTGGGGGGGGTCCAGAATGGGCCTCCCCGTCGACGGATGGAGAGGTTGTCCTCGGCGAGAGCCAGCAGGGGCTGGCGAGTCCGCAGAGTCTTGGTGTGCCATTAAGGAAAGGGGTCCTGAGAGAGAGAGAGAGAGGGAGAGAGAGGGAGAGACCAGTCCTAGGCCCCTGGGCTTCCTCCCAGGACCAGATCTCCATCTCGGGTCGTGTTTTGGCGGTCACGGTACGGCCCTGGGGGGGCGCTACGACAAGATGGATGCATTATTTTTTCTGGACACACTTCCTTCATGCTAATCGCACGGCCCCGCCCGCGGAACCGTGGCATCATTACCTGCTCCGTGGGAGTCTTGCGGTGGTTGGCACAGGGTCACGCGCTCACAGGTCCCCGCCGGTGCTCTCCTGCTTTCATCGCCTTGTCCATGGGCCCCTGCGATGTTACGTATAGGGCCCTGCCCACAGTCACAGAGTCCAGCCCAGAGGATCCCGGTCATATATATATATATATATATATAAATAAATAAATAAATAAATATGTAGACATATATATATACACACAAACATATATCTATATATATATATATATATATATATATATGTAGAGAAAGAGAGAGAGAATTGAGAAAGAGAGAGTACATATACATACACACACACACTGTCGCCGTCAAGAGAAGGTGTGTTGAGGTAAGATCTCCTGGAGGTTTTCCGCCGTTTTCCAGCCCCCAGGGCCCTCCCCTGGACCCTGGACTGTTTCGAAGCGGCTCGGGGCGAACAGCTGGTCCTGCGGGGGGGGGGCCCGGCTGGCAGGGCCCGTTTCCATGAGGATCCATTAATTTCGTGACACATGAGGTTCCGCCCGCAGCCGCCATGCGCCTCGTGCACCTTATTTTCCCCGCGCGCCCCTCCCCCGCCGATTCTCGGCGGACGGGCTTGCCCCCTCCTGCCTCCTCCGCGGCCGCCCCCTTGTTCTCCAGTCGTCCTCGCGCCCCGCGCCTGGCGCGCCCCGCCGGTGCCGACCCCCGCGCCCGCGACCCGCTGGCACTGCCGAAGAAAAGAAGACATCTTCTTAGAACGTGTTGGGTCCACACGCGGGTACCACTTTGCAGTGCGTTGCACCAGCTGGCTCTTCAGAAGGGGGGATGGGCCTCGAGGAGTCGCGGGGGGAGTTACCCCTCGGGGGTCAGGGAGTGTTGCATCTTCAGAGAGCCTGGCCTCGGCAGCTTGCTGGCACCGAGAACCTCGCATCAGCCGCCGGGACCTCTGAGGCCAGGTCACTTGTGGACAGCGATGAAGCAGAATCCCGTGGCACAGTGAATGTCAGTATCCCGTAGCATCAGAGGGTGGACATGCAGGTCTACGGCTTTCAGTGGCCGCGTCTCGATGTGCGTGTTCTTTCATGCGCATCCCTCCTGCCCGGGGGGGGCTGGGCTCGTCCCCATCGTTTCCGCAGGCTCGTGACATGTCGAGCCCCCAGAGCGTTGTCCGACAGCCCGCGCCGACAGCCAAGAAGTGTGTGTTCCTAGACTCAAGTCGGGCCTGTCCCTCTACAGGGAAGATATTCAAAAATAGTCAAAAGATAGTCTGGGGATTAGTTGTTGAGTATGCTTGACAATTTGGGAGTATGTTTTGAGTAATTATTATTTTCCGTCGATTATCCAGGCAAAGCAACCTAACAGCGATGTGTATAAGCATATCTGGAAGCATTCCCTTAAGATTCAGGTGAGAATCCAGTTGTAGAATTCTGCTGTTCTCGCAGTCGCAGTCGCATTCGCAATGACAGTCGCAGTGGCAACGGCCTTAGGATCCAATGAAATCCTAAGGATTCCTAGGGATTCCTAAGGCATCCTTAGGCAATTCCTAAGGATTCCTAAGGTTTCCTAAGGATTCCTATGGATTCCTCCGGATTCCTAAGGATTCCTGAGGATGCTTAACTATGCCTACGGATTCCTAAGGATGCCTACGGATTCCTATGGATTCCTAGGGATTCCTAAGGATTCCTATGGATTCCTACGGATGCCTCAACCTGCCTCAGTTTCAGCCTCAGCCTCAGCCTGCCTCGGCTTGCCTCAGCCTCAGCCTCAGCCTCAGCCTCGGCCTCAGCCTCAGCCTGCCTCAGCCTCCTCAGCCTCAGCCTCAGCCTCAGCCTCAGCCTCAGCCTCCTCGGCCCTCAGCCTCAGCCTCAGCCTGCCTCGGCCTCAGCCTGCCTCGGCCTCAGCCTGCCTCAGCCTCCCCTCCTCCCCCCCCCTTCCCCCCCCCATTCAGCCTCACCTTGTCTCAGCTTCGGCCTGCCTCGGCCTCATCCTCAGCCTCAGCCTCAGTCTCAGCCTCAGCCTGTCTCGGCCTGAGCCTGCCTCGGCCTCAGCCTCAGCCTGCCTCAGCCTCAGCCTGCCTCAGCCTCAGCCTCAGCCTGTCTCAGCCTCAGCCTGCCTCAGCATCAGCCTCAGCCTCAGCCTCAGCCTGCCTCGGCCTCAGCCTCAGCCTGCCTCAGCCTCAGCCTCAGCCTCAGCCTCAGCCTCAGCCTACCTCAGCCTCAGCCTCAGCCTCAGCCTCAGCCTCAGCCTCAGCCTCAGCCTCAGCCTCAGCCTGCCTCGGCCTCAGCCAGCGTCAGCCTCAGCCTCAGCCTGCCTCAGCCTCAGTCTGCCTCAGCCTCAGCCTCAGCCTGCCTCGGCGTGCCTCAGCCTCAGCCTCAGCCTGCCTCGGCCTCGGCCTGCTTCGGCCTCAGCCTGCCTCAGCTCGGGCATCCAAAATATGGCACAGGACTGGTGTTCTGGGAACACGAAGATCGCGAAGTGGCCCACAGTTGGCGCTGGGCAATCGAAATATTGTACAGGAATGGTGTTCTGGGAACACGAAGAACACGAAGTGGCCTACAGTTGGCTCCGGGCATTCAAAATGCGGCCTGGGAATAGGGTTCTGGGAACGCGAAGATCACGAAGTGGCCCACAGTTGGCGCTGGGCGTTCAAAATGTGGCCTGGGAATGGTGTTCTGGGAAAACGAAGAACACGAAGTGGCCTACAGTTGGCTCCGGGCATTCAAAATGTGGCCTGGGAATGATGTTCTGGGAGCACGAAGAACACGAAGTGGCCTACAGTTGGCTCCGGGCATTCAAAATGTGGCCTGGGAGTGGTGTTCTGTTGGCTCCGGGCAGTCAAAATGTGGCTCCTGGCAATGAAATGAGGAGTCCCCGGTTTCCCCCGGCATCCCCCGGATCCTGCCCAGACCCCCTTGGGGAATCAGGATGTTTTTTTTTTGAC